GACTGAAGGGTCCCAGGTTCGATTCCAGTCAAGGGCATGTACCTTGGTTGCGGGCACATCCCCACTGGGGGGTTGTGCAGGAGGCAGCTGATCGATGTTTCTCTCTCATCGATGTTTCAAACTCTCTATTCCCCTCCCTTCCTCTCTGTAAAAACTCAATAAAATATATTAAAAAAAACCTGTGTGTGTATGTGGTGTGTGTGTGTGCAAGTGGTGTGTGTGTGCATGTGGTGTGTGTGTGCATGTGGTGTGTGTGTGCATGTGGTGTGTGTGTGCATGTGGTGTGTGTGTGCATGTGGTGTGTGTGTGCATGTGGTGTGTGTGTGCATGTGGTGTGTGTGTGCATGTGGTGTGTGTGTGCATGTGGTGTGTGTGTGCATGTGGTGTGTGTGTGCATGTGGTGTGTGTGTGCATGTGGTGTGTGTGTGCATGTGGGGTGTGTGTGTGTGTGATGTGGTATGTGTGTGTATTGTGCGTGTGGTATGTGGGGTGTGTGGGGGTGTGTGTGTGTGTGATGTGGTATGTGTGTGTATTGTGCGTGTGGTATGTGGGGTGTGTGGGGGTGTGTGTGTGGTGTGTGGTGTGTGGTGTGTGTGTGTGTGTGGTGTGCGTGGTGTGTGGTGTGTGGTGTGCGTGGTGTGTGTGTGTGGTGTGCGTGGTGTGTGTGGGAAGGGGTACCACTGGGAGTCATGGTGGATTCACTTATTTTCTTCTTTACAAGCTTCTGTCAGGTTTTGGAAAAGCATTTCCCTAGACTCTAGTAAATTGGGATGTGAGCGGGTCTCTGCTGTTGTTGTAAGGCCTTGAATAGTGTCAGTGTGTGTGTGTGTGTGTGTGTGTGTGGTGTGTGTGCATGTATTGTGTGTGTGCATGTATTGTGTGTGTGCATGTGTGTGTGGTGTGTGTGTGCGTGTGGTGTGTGCGTATGTGGTGTGTTGTGTGGTGTGTGTGTGCATGTGTTGTGTGGTGTGTGTGTGGTGTATGTGTGGTGATGTGTGTGTGTTTTGTGCGTGTGGTATGTGGGGTATGTGGGGTGTGTGTACGTGTGGTATGTGTGTGCATGTGGTGTGTGTGTGTATTGTGCGTGTGGTATGTGGGGTGTGTGGTGTGTGGTGTGTGGGTGTGGTGTGTGTGTGGTGTGTATGTGTGTGTGTGGGAAGGGGTACCACTGGGAGTCAGGGTGGATTCACTTATTTTCTTCTTTACAAGCTTCTGTCAGGTTTTGGAAAAGCATTTCCCTAGACTGTAGTAAATTGTATTTTTCTTGTTCTGTCTATTTAAATCCTAGCCCGAGGGGATGCTTTATTCATCTGAGAGAGGGAGAGAGAGAAACGTGAGTGAGAGAGACGTGGATCGGTTGCCTCCCACACCTGCCCGGCCAGAAACGGAACCACAGCCTTCCGGCCGGTGGGCTGGCGTCCAGTCGATGGCCCGCCAGGCTGTTGCTTCTTCCGTTAGACTCTGTGCAGCCTCTGGGTTTTCACTCGGGACGAAGCAGGCAATTGGAACATTTGGTTGTAAGCTGCTGTTTCGTTGGCCCCATTACAGGAGGGAAAATAAACTGGTAAATTGAAAGTAGAGACACTGGCTTTGCCGTAGTCCTCTCAGCGTCATGTCATTAACATGATGCTTTTATGTGAAGTGACTCCTCTGACGGGGTCAGCAAATCCCCACAGTCTGGGAGAGGGACCTCCAGAGGCAGTGGGAGCAGGCGCCATTCACGTCCTGTTGTCACCAGGTTTTGGAAAAGCATTTCCCTAGACTGTAGTAAATTGTATTTTTCTTGTTCTGTCTATTTAAATCCTAGCCCGAGGGGATGTGTTTATTCATCTGAGAGAGGGAGAGAGAGAAACGTGAGTGAGAGAGACGTGGATCGGTTGCCTCCCACACCTGCCCGGCCAGAAACGGAACCACAGCCTTCCGGCCGGTGGGCTGGCGTCCAGTCGATGGCCCGGCCAGGCTGTTGCTTCTTCCGTTAGACTCTGTGTGCAGCCTCTGGGTTTTCACTCGGGACGAAGCAGGCAATTGGAACATTTGGTTGTAAGCTGCTGTTTCGTTGGCCCCATTACAGGAGGGAAAATAAACTGGTAAATTGAAAGTAGAGACACTGGCTTTGCCGTAGTCCTCTCAGCGTCATGTCATTAACATGATGCTTTTATGTGAAGTGACTCCTCTGACGGGGTCAGCAAATCCCCACAGTCTGGGAGAGGGACCTCCAGAGGCAGTGGGAGCAGGCGCCATTCACGTCCTGTTGTCGCTGATAATCTCACTGACACTCAGATGGGGTCATTGATCAGTGATTAGGGCTCTGACACCCAGATGGGGGTGTGATCAGTGATTAGGGCTCTGACACTCAGATGGGGGTGTGATCAGTGATTGGGGCTCTGACACCCAGATGGGGGCATTGATTAGTGATTAGGACTCTGATACCCAGAGACCCACGAAGAAGAGCAGCTAAAGAAAATATGTTAAATTCAGTGGGAGCACATGCAAGAGTGTGTGTGACAGAAACTAGAAACAAGACTGGAAAGCAGATGCTGCACAGTGAAGACAGGATGGCAGGAGCTGGGGGTCAGGACAGACGGATGCTGGGGGTCAGGACCGACGGACACGGGGAGTCAGGACAGACGGACGCTGGGAGTCAGGACAGATGGACGCTGGGAGTCAGGACAGACGGACACGGGGAGTCAGGACAGACGGACGCTGGGAGTCAGGACAGATGGACGCTGGGAGTCAGGACAGACGGACGCTGGGAGTCAGGACAGATGGACGCTGGGAGTCAGGACAGACGGACGCTGGGAGTCAGGACAGATGGACGCTGGGAGTCAGGACAGACGGACGCTGGGAGTCAGGACAGATGGACGCTGGGAGTCAGGACAGACGGACGCTGGGAGTCAGGACAGATGGACGCTGGGAGTCAGGACAGACGGACGCTGGGAGTCAGGACAGATGGACGCTGGGAGTCAGGACAGACGGACGCTGGGAGTCAGGACAGATGGACGCTGGGAGTCAGGACAGACGGACGCTGGGAGTCAGGACAGATGGACGCTGGGAGTCAGGACAGACGGACGCTGGGAGTCAGGACAGATGGACGCTGGGAGTCAGGACAGACGGACGCTGGGAGTCAGGACAGATGGACGCTGGGAGTCAGGACAGACGGACGCTGGGAGTCAGGACAGATGGACGCTGGGAGTCAGGACAGACGGACGCTGGGAGTCAGGACAGATGGACGCTGGGAGTCAGGACAGACGGACGCTGGGAGTCAGGACAGATGGACGCTGGGAGTCAGGACAGACGGACGCTGGGAGTCAGGACAGATGGACGCTGGGAGTCAGGACAGACGGACGCTGGGAGTCAGGACAGATGGACGCTGGGAGTCAGGACAGACGGACGCTGGGAGTCAGGACAGATGGACGCTGGGAGTCAGGACAGACGGACGCTGGGAGTCAGGGGCAGCGTGGAGGGGGCTGGCCTCCACTCGGGGAGGAGAGACTGTGTCGCTCGGCCACCTGGGCAAGTTGTCAGCCGGCTCTGCCCTCGGTTTCCCCATCAGTGAAATCAAAATGTGACGTGTAAATACTTCCTAGAGTTGTGAGGATTAACTCAGATTGTCTGTAAATTTAGCAGAATGCCTAACACAGACTCAAAAATATATTAACTTTGTCCAGCTGGTGTGGCTCAGTGGTTGAGCATCGACCTATGAACCAGGAGGTCACAGTTCAATTCCCGGTCAGGGCACATGCTGGGTTACGGGCTTGATCCCCAGTGGGGGGCATGCAGGAGGCAGCCAATCCATGGTTCTCTCATCATTGATGCTTCTCTCTCTCTCTCCCTCTCTCCTCTTCTCTATGAAATCCATTTAAAAGATGGCTTTTATAATATGTTCTCTCTGAATAGCAATTATTAATGGAAACCATATTCCAGAGTTTTAAACCAAGAGAAAAGGTGTGTGTGTGAGAAATTCCTGCCGATACAGGC